TACTTAATAATCTGATTTATATGCCTTTTCCAAGGTTTACTTACATTACATACTTTTACCAGATATGTTTGCTTACCAAGTCGTTTAATTATTGAACCTTTAGACCATGAAACCTTACCCGGAACCGAATAATTTTTTGTTACAACCATTTCTCCCATTTTGAGTTCGGTATTTCTTGCGCCGGAGTAAACTTTCTTTTGGTCGGCCTGACTTTTTAACACTTTCTTTTTTACACAGGCTTTAGATGTCCCTTCTACTTGTCGTTTAGGATTTATGAGATCCAACCGCGTTTTCAGCTGTCTACCAAACATAAGCTGAGCAGGAGAGACACCTGTGCTTGTATGCTTCGTATTTCGATAGTCGAGCAGGAATCTTAAAACAATATTCCGAAACTGTGAAACCTCCGATGTGTACAAACTCTTCTTTAAAGCGTTTTTCATTGTCTTTACTAAATTCTCTGCTTGTCCGTTTGTAGCGGGATGACCCACTGGGCTTGTGATATGAGTGATTGAATTTCGGTCAACAAAGTTTTTGAATTCTTTCGACATAAACGCGGTACCATTATCTGAAACGATTTCTTGCGGTAACCCGAATCTAGCAAACAGCTCTTTCAATGCAAAAATCGTTGCACTACTTGTTGTATTATTTCCCATGTCCAAACACTCAGCCCACTTACTGCAACTGTCAACTACTACCAAACACCACCGTTTACAAAAGGGTCCAAAAAAATCAATGTGTATGCGATACCATGGCTGCTTTGGCCATTTCCACGACATAAGTTCTTTCTTTCTTGGATTATTGCGGTTCATTAAACAGGGTTCACAAGCGCTCACCAGCTTTACCAAATCTTTACTTTGATTTGGCCACCAGCAGCTTTCCCTCGCCATGGATTTTATTTTACAAATTCCCATGTGCGTCTCATGCAGAAAATTAGCTACCCTGACTCTGAGTGTTTACGTACAAAAAATGGTTTTAACAAGGAATCCGTAATTTTATCTGGCCACTTCGTTTGGATGAACTGACTCACTTTCTTCAACGACTCATCTCCTAAAGATTCCTTCCTGATCAGTTCTGCGTTTACTGGAGAAGAGTTGACTTCCTTACAAAAATTCAGACCTACTTTATCAATGAGATCACCAGATTCTTTTATTATACTTGAAGGGTTTCTAGAAAAATAATCCGCTACATTTTCATTCGATCTGATGTGCTTGATCTCAAAATCGTATCCTGACAAGGTTATCGCAATGCGTTGTAAACGATTAGCTGCATAAACTGGAATCCCCTTCTTTGGGTTAAAAATGTAATGCAATGGCTTATTATCCGTTACAAGCTTAAAATGCCTACCGTACAAATAATTATGAAATTTCTTAACCCCAAACAAAATTGCTATGGCTTCCCTATCTAATTGTGAGTAGCGCATTTCCGCAGCGGACAATTTCCGTGAAGCGAATTCAATGGGTACCTCATACCCCTCTGCAGTTACCTGCGACAAAATTGCACCAACTCCTACTGGACTTGCATCGACGGTTAACTTCGTTTCGTAACCTGGGTTGAAATGCGCTAGACATTTATCTGCTTTCAATGCTGCTTTTAAGCGGTCAACTGATTTTTTACATTCCTCTGTAAAGCTAAATGTTTCATCCGCCTTCAGCAATTTATACAAGGGCGCACACATTGTTGTGATATTAGGAATGAACTTCCTGTAAAAGTTCACAACACCCAAAAAAGCCTGCAACTCTTTGACATTGTTTGGATACTGTATCTTATCGATTTCTTTTACCTTGTCCGGATTCGTATGCAAGCCGTGTGTGTCGATTACATGCCCAAGGTATGTTATTTCCTTGGCAAAAAATTCACACTTGTTCAATGCTAACTTGAAACCCGACTTTTCTAACACGTACTGCAAGTTTTCAACTCGTTCAATATGAGTTTTCCTATTTGGAGCTGTAATTAGAATATCATCCAAAAACACTACCGTTCCCTGTAAATTCATTAGTAAACTCTCCATTATCTTTTGGAATATAGCTGGTGCCGAAGCTAACCCGTAAATCAACCTAGTGTATTGGAATAAGCCTTTTGGAGTAGAGATCGTTGTAAGCTTTTTTGATACCTCGTCTAAAGGGATTTGTTGATAAGCCATTGTTAAATCAAGCTTGGTGAATTCCTCACCGCCGTGAAGTTTTGCAAAAATATCCTCTATACGAGGCAAGGGATACTTATCTACCATCAACTGTGGGTTTAGCGTAACTTTAAAATCGCCACAAATTCTAACGTCGCCAGTTTTCTTCAAAACCGGCACTATTGGAGTACCCCACTCCGCATACGAAACTGGCTCTAAAACTCCTAGATCTATCAATTTGTTAACTTCATTTTCTACCTTGCTCTTAATTGCGAGAGGAACGACTCGTGGCTTAAAAAATTTCGGCGTATAATTTTCTTTAAGTTTCAATGTTGCCTTGCCTTTATTAAAACAGCCTAAGCTGCCGTCAAATAGATTACGAAATTTATTAAATATTTGCTCCCTAGCACCAACATCGACCTTGGTATAGTTCAACTCTGCAATATTCAACTTAGATGTTCGTACAAAATTTTTACCCAGCAAAGGCGGGCCCCCGTTCTCTATGACCACGAATGTTACCAAGTGACTACAACCATTATACGCAACCATCATATCACAAACACCAACGGGATTAATTGCTAAGCCATTATATGTTCTCAAAACAATATTACACGGTTTTAGACTGCGTAATGAAAAGTAAGTTTTAAATTTAGCGCAAGATAGTACGCTGTACTCTGATCCCGTATCCAATTCCAGGTCTAAAGGTGCATTGTCTACATGTACTCTAACCTTAACAGGGCCATCTGAAACACTTCTCATCGAGAATAAAGGTACATCAGAATTATCGACATAGTTAAATTTTTCATTCTTTTTCTCACTAGGGCACATGTTCTTTAAATGACCTTTGTTATTACATTTATGACACTTATAATTCCTAAATTTGCAATCACGACTTAAATGGTTTGCATACCCACATACTGCACACGTCTGCTTCTGTTGCTTTTGTTGTTTTTGCTTAGCCGCCCCCACTAGTTTGTTGCTTTTGTTGCCTTTTATGTAATTTAAGCTATCCTCTGTCTCACGTTTCACCTCGGTCTCACGTTTCACCTCGGTCGTTGCATTTTGCTTCCGAATGTATTCCGCTGCATTAGCAATTTCCACCACACGTTGCATAGTGCAGCTCGTAATATCTTCGAGAAAAATCTTGTCCCTTGCTGGCCCTCTTTCAAGGCCCATGACAAATTTGTCGCGCATAGCTGTGTCCAAGAAATTCCCGAATTTGCAATGAATTGCTAAAGCTCTTACCCGTACAGCCCACTCATTAACGCTCTCCGTGACTTCTTTGCTGGCACTGTAAAATTTTTGCCGTTCTGCAAAGCCTGTTGATGGAGGCTTAAAATACTCGCTTAGAACTTCTACGCACTTCGCAAACGACGTAGATTCAGCTTCTGGCTTTATCGGGTTGAGTAAATTCTGCAGCAAAATATAAGACGTTTCGGACAGCGCGGTTAACAAAATCGCCTTCTTCCTTACTGCCTCGGAAATCCTATTTCCCGTGAAAAACTGTTGTAATTGTGTAATGAACACTTCCCAGTTATTTTCATTATATTTAAAATGTGGTACGGTGCCAATTATTTGTGCCATTATAATATTTTCCGTCGTCGCCATTGTAATATATTTATTGCTTAAAAATTCAACTTACAATTTTGGCCGCTGAGCACAGAGAAAAGAATATGTAAAACATGTGCATACACAAACGTCAGTGCTTAGCACATGTGGATTGTAAATCAGCTGATTAGCTTTTGTGTATTCTATTATGAGTGTCGGTCAATTGAGATGCCACACTAGAATATGCTTATACATGTTGGTACGTTTTACGTATACAATGTTACACTTTCCCCTCTTTAGTGTTCGTATTACATAGGTACAATTCTTTAATTCCATGTTGTACTTACATTCTTATAAAATAAAATATATGTTTAATTTACATTTTGTTTCTGGTTCTTAAATTGTACTTTTTTGTTTCGGTTTCATTGGCCTTTCTATTTTCATTAGATTTTTCCTGAATGTCTTTGCTACCTAATGCCTCATTTCCCGAGTCTTGGGCCATGTTTTCTTCAATTTCTTGGTCCGATTGTATTACCGGATCTTCAGGTATCGAATTTGACTTTTCAGGAGAAATCTTATGTGTATAGTCGTCTAACAAACTAGAATCATAACTTGGATTTTCATTTTCCTATTACTTAATAATCTGATTTATATGCCTTTTCCAAGGTTTACTTACATTACATACTTTTACCAGATATGTTTGCTTACCAAGTCGTTTAATTATTGAACCTTTAGACCATGAAACCTTACCCGGAACCGAATAATTTTTTGTTACAACCATTTCTCCCATTTTGAGTTCGGTATTTCTTGCGCCGGAGTAAACTTTCTTTTGGTCGGCCTGACTTTTTAACACTTTCTTTTTTACACAGGCTTTAGATGTCCCTTCTACTTGTCGTTTAGGATTTATGAGATCCAACCGCGTTTTCAGCTGTCTACCAAACATAAGCTGAGCAGGAGAGACACCTGTGCTTGTATGCTTCGTATTTCGATAGTCGAGCAGGAATCTTAAAACAATATTCCGAAACTGTGAAACCTCCGATGTGTACAAACTCTTCTTTAAAGCGTTTTTCATTGTCTTTACTAAATTCTCTGCTTGTCCGTTTGTAGCGGGATGACCCACTGGGCTTGTGATATGAGTGATTGAATTTCGGTCAACAAAGTTTTTGAATTCTTTCGACATAAACGCGGTACCATTATCTGAAACGATTTCTTGCGGTAACCCGAATCTAGCAAACAGCTCTTTCAATGCAAAAATCGTTGCACTACTTGTTGTATTATTTCCCATGTCCAAACACTCAGCCCACTTACTGCAACTGTCAACTACTACCAAACACCACCGTTTACAAAAGGGTCCAAAAAAA